TTTGCATGACTAGTAAATAACTAGTCAAGAAAAGCGCGCTGTCTTAAAATAATCTTGCTAGCAAACCTTACATGCATGGTTTTAAATAAAAAATTAAACTTTTGTTTTAATATTCTTGTGGATTAGTTTGTTTATAGCAGCCGTCTTGCTAGCGTTTTATTGACTTTTACGTGTGGTCAACATCTTGGTCTCTTGTTTTTAGCTGTGGTGCGGGGGATTTTTACCACGCTGTTGCCCCCTTATTTGTTATTTATGTTTCGTAAGAATAGGTCTAATGACTTTAACGAGCTTAAATCAAAAAAGAAGGTTTTGGGGGAGAAAGAAATTTCGCAGAGGCTTAAGCACCTTCGAATGTTGATCGGTACGGTATCTTATCAGTATATTTATGAATAAGAAAATCTACGCCCGGAAGAGTTGCTCTCATTCTTTGAGGGTCATCCCTCTAAGATTTTTCACATTGTTTACGATGCTTTTTCTATGTTGGAGATTGATAATAAAACCAAAAGTGAGTTCTAATGCTACTTTGACACAACTAGTAAATTATTCTCATTTAAAGGAACTAGACGCTGTCCTTTTAATATTGGACGTAAGTTGCTTCTTTGATTTATGACTTACAAAGCAAATATTCTTATTCCTTCCCAACTTGCTTCACGACCGCTGGCAATTTCATTGTATAAGTACGTTACTATTCTTCTAATTGAATTAGATTCAATCCTTGACGTCCTGCTTAATGACGTGAATTCTCTTAAACTCAGAGTTCGTGGACTCCGTATTTTTATCTCATGGTATCAAATACTTGGACAAAATGCTAGTCCAGAGTGTCATATTCGGTTCAGGAACCTTGTTCCTGACTTGAGATTGCTGATAAGTGATTATCATCGACGTGAGGAGTCGTACACGCCGTCATCATCTGATCCACATTTTTCTAGGTCTCCTAAAGAACCTCCAAAAGCTACGCCTAAAGATATGTTAAGTATAAATCTGCGTTCTCATATCTCGTTCAGCTCTTTTCCAGTTCAACCTTGGGAAATTTCATTTACTTTGCCTAGCCTTTTGGATAAGTCTGATGAAGTAAGGCTATTCTCTTAATTAGTCATTCCTTATTCTCTTCATAATCATTGTTGCTTTTGCACAGTCTACTGATACCTCGTTTGAATTACTTCGTTACCTACTCCGATTTTTGGTGACAGAAGTTACTAAAATCGAGTGGAAGGAAAGAAAATGGCCTAACTATTTACTTCAGTTCTTCTTTCTCTTCGAAAAATTTAAGCGCTCCTATTTGCCCGTTATTTTTCCCAGGTTAGTTGCTAGTTTGTTTTATTTATATCTAAATGCCAAATCAATTTCACTTTATTTCCGCCTTATTGAAACTATTCAGTCTATTGCTTGATTGTCGGTTCTGAGTTAATTAGGCACTGAGGGTATACCGTATTATTAGTTTTGATGGTTTTACTTTATTTTCGTAACTTGGTCGGAGTGACAGGGAGACATTGTGGAATGTACATAATTCTTCGTCTTCCATATTATTCGTGATTTTCAACATCGAACCACTAACTTGGTGCACTCCTAGACGTTTCGCCGGTATCGTCAATTAGAGGGGCCATCGTCAGCACAGAGTTACATTTTATTAGTCTCTGTTGGCAATGTCTCTTCTTATTGCCGAGGCCCGTAAAACGACTGCGAATTTACCACTTTAGTGGTCTGATTCTAGAGATCGTCAATGCTATAGCAGAGGACGCGAGATTAGGTACGTTTCACGAAGTCTCC